ACACCTCGAAGCTTTAATCCTCTTCAAGCGACCCCAGCTCTGAAACCGACGCCTCTGGTTACTGCTGAAACATACACCCCAAGTCAAACCCCACCCAGCCAACATGCGAGACTCGATTCACGTAACGAATCTGGACTGGATGCTCATCAACTTCAAACAGTAAATCCGATGCATCTCGGCCTTTGGCCGCGGGATTCGCTCTGGGAATGGAAGCGATCGCTGCAGTTCCAAGGGAGCCTGCAGTACTGCTGCGTGCATGCCGGGTTTGAGGCTGCAGAGTTTGCTGGCTTCGTACCAGACTCCCTCACCCCAAGCCTCTAGTCAGGACAGTCAGGACATTGTGGATTGGCGCTACCGACCAGAACTTGTGCCATGAGGCGCCTCGGCCTTTGGCCGCTGGATTGGCTTTGGGAATCGAAGCGATCGCTGCCACGGAGCCTGCGGGTGCTGCATCAAACTCAGAGTTCGAGCCTCAGGGTTGCAGCCCAGGTCATTATGGCAAACCGATGCCTGCTTTCTGCAGCCTGTCTTTGACGATGGGCACCGCTAAACCAGGTGAGTTTTGATTGCCTTGAAGCCGAAGGACCCTTAATCAAGCAAGCTGCTCCCAATAGCCTCAATCCTGCAGCGCAATTCGAAAGCACACAGCGGCGAGGTTGGGCACCCAAACTCCTACAAGCCGCGATGACACTCACGTCATCTCGACAGGCATGTTTCGATTTCAGCTTCGCCCTAGGCCTGTATTTCGGCTCAGATACGTATGCAGCAGTGTGCCGGTGCAGGCCCAGTGGTATATGACCCCCCCGAAGACACGCATCCGGAATGGGTACGGCAGACATGGTGCACGAAAACTCCTATGGCCTAAACTTTAGCAACCTGGAGCCCTGAAGCCGCAGATCCAGAAAAGCCCGGCACATCCGGAAGATCAGAAGCCAGCACCTTTTCTGTCAAGCCCTCCATCCTAAACTGGCACAGCCGAGCCTTCTTTGGCAGCATTCGTTGCCCTGCAGGACAATGCTACGCAGTGTTTCACAAGGCCGTGCAGATCTCAACAAGTTCCTACACAGGCGCAACGGATCGCAGGTGGCCTTGGGTTACGCACCCCTTGCAATTCGATGTGCCGTATGGTGTGGTCCGAAACTAAACCGCAAATCCCGAACCCCGAATGCGAAGCCAGAGCCTCTCAACCCTTACAATAGCCTTTCAAATCCACAAGGCTCCAGAGCCTTCGCTTCGCCGACGCTCCCACTGGGCCGTTGGACGCCTGCAGCGGAAACTCGGTGGATTTCGGTGGCGTTATCAAGTTCTACTCGTGCTGGCAGTATTGTAATCGTGGCAACTATACGAACAAGAGCCCCTGCTTGAAAAATCTACTGTGCTACCCGAGACAAAAACGGTGTAGCAACTGACAGTGGCAATTCTTATGATCGTCGGACAAGTCGTCATGATAAACATGTTGTTCATGATACCAAAGGTAGAATTTCAATAGACCGAACTACACGAGTAACCCCTGACTTCCAGAAAATAATTTCCGCACACCATGACCGCAAACATTGAACAAACACATAGACCTCTGAACGAGTGACTTGCTAGCAGCTAGCATCCTTCGGAAAGCTTGGGGACGGCACCCTTCTCGGCACAGCAGGAGGGATGTTGGAAGTCCTTTCTTCGCGCAGCGTTGGAATTTCTTCTGACGGAAAAACGGATGCCCCTCTGCAAAGAGACAACAATTGCAAGAAGCTTCTGTTGAGGTGCTTTTGAGGGTCTGGGCCCATTGAAGGTTGCTGAATAATGTTGTACATGGATGCGTGCGGGACATGAGCACATCGAGGGACCAGCCAGCATCGCAGAACCCAGAACAACACATGTTTCTGTGTTCAGGATTAATGATTGGATGAAGCTCTATAGCACAGTGTTTCGGTTTCGATTTTTCCACAATCCCAGACTTTACTCTCCACGATGGAACAGTTAATACTTCACAGAGCAACAAATATCACAGCCTGCTTTCCTGAAGGTTGAGACCGACATCCTCCTGCCATGCATCTTTGGAAGCTGCAGACTTAAAAGGATGTCTTGTAATATGCCAAAAGGCAAGTGCTGAGTATCACAACAACGAAATCCTGCACCCTCTCCTCGCCGGGGGTGCAAACGAGGGCTCCAAAAGCAGCTCCTCCTCTGCGCAGCATGACGCTTGGATGCTTCATGCTACATGAGGCGCCACGGAAAAAAGCAAACCAAAGCTGAATTCATCCGCTGAACCACCAAGGCCGGTGACATCACCAACCAAAAGAAACTGTTGCAACATCCCCAGACCGAATCGGCCTCCTCAGGAGGCGGCTCGCCGTCTTCACCCACCGCCTCACCCAGTTCCATTTCGTCTTCCTGAAGCTCCTCATCTTCCCACGGCTGGTCTTCAGCCTCACCCGGAACTTCCACAGTCTCTTCTTGGCACAGCTCCAAGGCCTCAGCCTCCTCTTCTCCCCAAGCATCACCCTCCGCTTCTGTGGAGTCCTGAGAGGAAAGGTTGCAGGCTGGACTCGAGTTCAGAAGTTTTCGACAGCATTTCTGGAGGGTTTGATGCGCAACTGGATTTAGGAGGGGTGCCGCCGAAGATGCAACCCCACAAGCCAAACCCAAAGTCAGGCTTAACCTGACGCGAACCCTGAAACGTGAAGCCTACCAGCCCTCCAGCGGTTGTGCGGCAAGTTGGTTGCCGTATCTGCGACCAAAGATCATCAGCATGAGCATTCATGCTTGCACGAACCGTTTCGGAGTTTTGGCTTGCCGATGTGCTCTGCCCCTCAACAAACCGAACTGTAAGCTTGCAGTGCGTCAGGCTGTGATGCTAGGATCTAGGGAGCCCCCCCACCAAGGGCTCCCAACTGCTGGAGCTGTTCAGAGCTCAAAGTCCTCTGATGCCCAAAGCACTAAACCTGAGTTAATGAAACGTCCCAGCCACAAAAACACAGCAACCCCAATGTTCAAAAAGTGGCATGAGCTTCGACAGGACATGTGTGCGTGTGTGTGTGTGTGCGCGCTGATCCAGCAGCCCTGAAAGTTCGACCAGCTGAAAACGCAACAAAGCCACAGAACGCAGCAGCTTTCGAACAAATCCTGCTCATTAAATTCCATGGCTGAAGTGTTTCAGCACTACTCGCTGCCGATCACAGGGAATGCTAAGCCAAGTCAACTTCGACACTGTGAAAGCTGCTTTGAGATAATTTATGTCGAACGATTCAAGCACACACACTCTCCACTGGCAGCAACCTCCAATGCTTCTCAATTGACTCAGGTTGCCTGAACCTCGTTCAGTAGCCGATGCTCTGCAGGTACTCTTTGATCGCTTGGCGATGAATGCCGACCTTCGGGACACTACTGCCAAATGATGAAATACAGTACTTATGCGTTCGAAGCCTCTCCACCTGCGAAACTGTTTGCACTCGGGTCGAGGGGAGACAGTAACATGCAAATTCCATCTTCAAGGCGACAAAGTCTGCAAAAATCTCTCAAATCTAAACCAACAAGCAACACCCGGTCCCGCCCGCATCAAAGCTTCCTCCAACAACTCGGCATTAACTCTAACTTGGTACTTGGTTCTTCAGAAGACTCTAACGAAATCCCATGACCACGAGATGAGAGAAGTGAGAATGGGAGAAGCGACGAAAGCCGCAATTCCAATGTGATCAATTGCGTCCCTTGCAAATCAAAGAATTCATATTGTCACCTTCCAAGAATCGCGATTTGACTCAACGGCAGGCCCCGCAAAGCTCAGTACTAACGCGAAAGCTTGTGCAGCGGTTGTGCCACTCGGAACACAAAGCCTGCAGTGTCTAATAAAGCCTCGCCTGCGAACACGAACTGCGGAATGCGAAGGCTTTTGGCCGCTTCGCCAGCGTTCGCCTCAGGCACCGGCCGGAGTCACACAACGACTAGGTGAGGGCTCCACGTTGACACTTAACATTCAGTTAGAATATCTTGCGGTCGTTCGAACTTCGATCCCACTTGGACCTTGCAGGACCCGCAGCCGAAGCTGCAGACTCGCCTCCATCCAGCAAGGACCACATCTTGCACAGACGGGCTTGCCTGCCGAAGCTGCAAGTACTCGCTTCTGGGTGCAAACTTGGCATCTGATGCTCTGCTACTTTTACATCAACATGATCAATGCCCACGGACTACGAGAACGATGAATGGTTGGAGAGCACCCACGCAGGTGGCAAGGAGGCACAGTAGCATAGCTTCGGCTCCGACAAACGGCTTCCGACTCATTTCAATCTCAACGCTCGACATATGATCTTTGTGGTCGGGCCTGTGTTCGACAGCCCGAAGCGTCCGATGGAGTCGAAGCTCACTGTCTGCAGCTCCAGTCTGGGACCCTTGCGAGCTTCAAATGCAAGAACTGACGGCAGAGGAACCAAAACATCAAATAGGGATCTAAAACAATCGAAACCTTAGAATCGAAAGGAAATCAAAATAGGTATCCAAAACATCGAAAACTCGCATTTTTAGAGGCTGAACTATAACATATCGAATTTCGGATCGAAAATCAAACAAGGATCACAAAATCTAAAGAGTTATCAAAGTAACAGTAGCAACCATTGCGGTACTAGTACGAGTAGCAAGAGAAATGGCACTTGCAATAGTAATAGCAGCAATACTCATAGTAGTACTAGTCTTCGTAGTACTACTAGCAACAATAGTAATAGTAGTAGTCGTAGCAACAGCAGCAGCAGCAGCAG